AAATTCTGATCATCTCCTGCAGCATGTCAGCAGTCTGTAAATCTTTTAATAGCATTACATTTACAGAATATCATGTGCAGCCCTTTGGTGATGTCAGGGATCACACATGAGGTTTCTTCTAGCAAAGAAATTTGACCACCATTGACTCAAATAACAGATCAGGCCACTCCACTTACTCTCCAGCTGACCTTCATTGGTATTATGGAAGCAGCTCTTGTGCATATGATAGGAAGAGCAGTTCCCATGAAGAAAATTGGTGACTACATCCCTAAAAGCACAGTGCTGCTCTGACTTAGTGGGGTCCAGAATATTAATTGATTACTGTCTGGTTGTCACGATTTGGGAACTGGAGCACCAGGAATAGTACACTCGGGGTCTTGGGGAGCAGTATATATGACTGAATTAGGAATGTGCAGGGATACAGGTCTCTGAAGATGCAGGGACACTGTGACCGCACAACAAACACAGGTGTGCCAGAGTCGCAGGATCTAAGGAGCCATCTGGTCTTCACCAGAGCCACTGATGGTGTGTTTGTTGAGCTGCCTGGCAGCTCCCAGGTTGCTACTCTCTGACACACCCATGCAGGCACAGTGCCAGTGGGTACCCAGGGACTACAGCACAATGAACCAGACACAGGGTGCAAGGTACAGAAAAGAGGCACTAGAGGGAAGGCACAGGGAACATGCGTGACAAAGGGAGCAGATAACCAGAGGGAACTCACAACGGTTGTACCCACAGGAACAGCAGAGTGGAATGTACAGGAGAAAGGAGGGAGGTGCACTATAGTGCAGAGAACAATAACCACAGGAAGCCAGAGCAGGAGGCAAGCCACAAAACAGAGGTATGAGAGCAACACCAAAGGCTTCGTGGAACAAGCAGCCACACAATAGAACAATATCTGCACAGGGGAAGGTGCTAAGTACTAGACATGTGCACTGGCAAAACATTCATTTCGTTTCGTTTTGATTCGGATTTTGCTTTATTTAATTTTGTGGCATTCGGGTCCGAAATTCAATTCGTTTCGTGAGTTGGAAAAATTCGTTAGCGATATTCCGGTCGAAATTTCGTTTAGTTTTCGTTTCGTTCGTACGTTGCAGCAAAATGACATTTGAGAAAAAAAACTTTTTCTTTTGTAGTTTTTTCAATTCATACCAGACCCTTTAGGTCTGGTAGGAATGTTAGGAGGGACCCTAAGAAAAAAAAAGTGCGTGGGGTTTGGAAGGAATTTTAAGGGGGAACCCCAGCCCCAAATAATGGGGAAAAAATGTGGGTGCCCACCTAACTGTCCTACCAGACCCTTGATCCGAGCACTGGCACGGCAGGGCAGGAAAGGGGGGGTGATCGAGCGACTCCCCCTCTCTGCGCCTTACCAGGTCACATGCCCTCGGCATTGGGAGGGTGTCCCCATGCCGATGGGGACAAGGGCCTCTTCCCCACAACCCTGACCCGGTGGTTGTGGGGGTCTGCGGGCAAGGGAGCTTATTTGCATCGCGATACCCCTTTAATTAAGGGGGCACCCAGATGCCGCTCCCCCTTGTGAATGAGTAAGGGGTACTTGTACCCCTACCCATTCACTAAAGGGTTAAATAAAATAATTATTAAAAAGTCCAGACTTTTGATAAAATCCTTTACTTGAAAAAAAAACAACAATTATTTGACTAAAGGGTCTGGTATGAATTGTGTCTAATGTCATTTTGCTACAAACGAAATATCGTACAGACTACCGCTAACGAATTTTGGAATCGTTTGCATTCATTATATCTGTAATTCGGAAACATCTGAATTTACGAAATGTCGTCCGAAATTCGATTAGGGAACGAAACGAATTGCACATGTCTACTAAGTACAGGCACACAGAAAAGAGCACAGAGGTGGTTGGGGAAAACGTACAAACAAGGTAGGAGACGAGCACACAGGAACTACAACAAATGGGAACACAAGAACCAAGCAAACGGGGAATAGCCAACAGGGAGATCATGAGCAAAGGGGGAATAGCCAACAGGGAGATCACAAGCAAACGGGGATCACTCGGGGTCTTGGGGAGCAGTATATATGACTGAATTAGGAATGTGCAGGGATACAGGTCTCTGAAGATGCAGGGACACTGTGACCGCACAACAAACACAGGTGTGCCAGAGTCGCAGGATCTAAGGAGCCATCTGGTCTTCACCAGAGCCACTGATGGTGTGTTTGTTGAGCTGCCTGGCAGCTCCCAGGTTGCTACTCTCTGACACACCCATGCAGGCACAGTGCCAGTGGGTACCCAGGGACTACAGCACAATGAACCAGACACAGGGTGCAAGGTACAGAAAAGAGGCACTAGAGGGAAGGCACAGGGAACATGCGTGACAAAGGGAGCAGATAACCAGAGGGAACTCACAACGGTTGTACCCACAGGAACAGCAGAGTGGAATGTACAGGAGAAAGGAGGGAGGTGCACTATAGTGCAGAGAACAATAACCACAGGAAGCCAGAGCAGGAGGCAAGCCACAAAACAGAGGTATGAGAGCAACACCAAAGGCTTCGTGGAACAAGCAGCCACACAATAGAACAATATCTGCACAGGGGAAGGTGCTAAGTACTAGACATGTGCACTGGCAAAACATTCATTTCGTTTCGTTTTGATTCGGATTTTGCTTTATTTAATTTTGTGGCATTCGGGTCCGAAATTCAATTCGTTTCGTGAGTTGGAAAAATTCGTTAGCGATATTCCGGTCGAAATTTCGTTTAGTTTTCGTTTCGTTCGTACGTTGCAGCAAAATGACATTTGAGAAAAAAAACTTTTTCTTTTGTAGTATGCAGAAGA